GGTGGATAGATAGATAGATGGATAGATAAATAGATAGATAGGTAGATAGATAGATAGATAGATAGATAGATAGATAGATAGATAGATAGATAGATAGATAGATAGATAGATAGATAGATAGATAGATAGATAGATAGATAGATAGATAGATAGATAGATAGATAGATAGATAGATAGATAGATAGATAGATAGATAGATAGATAGATAGATAGATAGATAGATAGATAGACAGAGATAGATAGATAGATAGATAGATAGAGATAGATAGATAGATAGATAGATAGATAGATAGATAGATAGATAGATAGATAGATAGATAGATAGATAGATAGATAGATAGATAGATAGATAGATAGATAGATAGATAGATAGATAGATAGATAGATAGATAGATAGATAGATAGATAGATAGATAGATAGATAGATAGATAGATAGATAGATAGATAGATAGATAGATAGATAGATAGATAGATAGATAGATAGATAGATAGATAGATAGTGGGTAATAGACAGGTAGACTCCTTGTCAACATGCAAATCAAGCCCAGGCACAGCTGCGATGTCGAACAACTGTCAATCATCCGAAATGCCAAAATCGAATAAAGTAAACGCATATGACGACATAACTACTCGCTAAACGAGCATATAGAAGAAATTGGTTATAAGTGAATGCATGATAAGTACAAAATGTCCGAAAGTTATTTAAAAAATACCACGCGATAAAATTACGCAAGTTTACCGCAATTTACTTGAGCGACGTGTGCAACTTGGGAGATTACCAAATATGTAGAACAAACCAAATAAAATGTAATAAATTTTATCCCCATTAAAGATACTTAAGTTAGGTCTTTTGAATATATATATATATATATATATACATGCATACATATATATATATATATGTGTGTGTGTGTATATATATGCCTGTCACTGTTGTTTCCACAGCACGCCTGCGCTTACAGAGGGACCATGGGTGGCTTGCGCTGCACCACCCACAGCTCCAACCGCACACCCCATATCAAGTGTAAACCCGAGGGAATAAGACCGCGAGGCATGTGGAATGGAGCCACGTTTCATCAAAACAAGGAATTCTAAGGACAGTGAAACTTTCATCTTCATAGACTTACCGAATTATTCCCGGAACACGGCCGCACATGCCCCTCGAATGTGTTCGATAGCAACTGTTTTCGGGACTTTCGGCTTGTGTTAATGAGCACTTGCACAGATCTGGTTGATGGGAACATCTAGGAAGTTAGAGCCTTCCATCCAATCTAACCCAAGGAGGTTCCCCAAACGTTGAAATCGGCAGGACCTCACTCTCACTCAATCTGACCGATCAGATCTAACTTGGTGCCTGATCCGCTCGTCGCTTGTTGCCCGGTCTGTTTAATGTCGGGTGCACCAGCAGACTACCGCAAGTTTTCCCGAATGCTGTGTCAATTTGCAAATCCACCAGTCGTTCATTGATGTCGATAGTGACAAACTTTCTTCTGTCCATAACATCGTCAGCGAAGTTAGCGTTTACGCTTTTTGCAAGCTTTTAGTGACCTTGTTTTCGTGAAGAATATGCCGACCTGAACGATGTTTTGGATCTGCAATGGGTCTCCTTGTGTCCACGTCTATAGCACTTAAGGCGGATGTGCTTACTGAACGGACACCATTTCAAAAAATGTCAACCTCCGCATTACTAAAAAGCTGATGGGGTTAGCCTGTGAACATCTCCTGTGCTGGGTTGTTGCTCCTGGAGGCTTGCTGAATAGCGATCTCACCAATATGCACCTTTGAATCCTACACTGTAGCTGTATCATGCTTTAAATTCATGATCCTCTGGACCTCAACAATGACATTTTGTTATGTGACATCTTGGTCGCGTTCCAACATCCCAAGTATTCTGATCTGGATTGGCATTTTGGGGGGACTGCACTCGAACTAATCTTCGGCAACCGATTTCAGTTTGTATTTTTGGTATTCACGCTTCATTGTCGCTGCATGAGCTGTAAGACTGTCACTATCATTTTTACAAAGCTTCAAACAATTGTACCGATTACTTAAGAACGACGGCTGGTCTCCAGACATATCTGTGACCCGGGGAACGGTGTCATCAAAGCTGAAATCATGGGCACTCTTGGACGAAATGTAGGTACTATGTCTTCGCGATCAATCGTTCCCAGTTTTTGTAACAGCAAACGAACTTTTGATGCATCATCTTGATTTGACAACGCTGTATTGAAAACATCTTCATAGTGCCTGAATCAGGATCATTAATGAACTCACTAACACTGCTGGTCATTGCGTCTGCTGAACGCTTCCCAGAGTTCTGGAAGACTGTGGACTGAAGGGATAATGTTCGAATGACAGTCTCAATCCTACCTAGCTATGCGGCTTCAAATTTCTGCTGTTGTTTTGACATTCGGGTCTTCTGATGAGATGCGCATCCCCATTTGCTCATCAGCATCATTACACACTTTAGCTGCAGGTGGAAAACATAGCTACTGTGCCGCAATACAAAGACAAGATGAAAAAAACAGAGGCACGCCGGCTGAGTCCCCAGTGACGGATGGGCATCGTTTCGGTGAGCTAACAGCCGGTTGTCGTGCCGCAAAAAGAGAGTTCTATTACGGCTAACGGATAAGATCGTGATTGGAGGGTGAGGCTAAGCGGGAGTGGGGTGGACAAAGGAACTCACAACACAAATGCCATTGGGACCGACTGCTATCAGTGTCAGCAAGTGTGTCTAACCAAACGTGTTCATCGTCCTTAGGACCCCAGCCAAGCAGTCGGGATGCACCAACCGACGCCAACTTCAGAGTGAGGATTTTCATTTCTCTCGAGCAACTTATCATTTGACCTCCCCTCTTCCAACCGCACCCCCGGTGCGCAAATAACGCACGTCGCGGGAGTCGGTGTGCTGTCATGCGCAACACGTGGCCCAGCCATCGGAGCCTGACGCATGAAATAACCATGCTGAGCATTTTACTAGCTCTTCCTGCACCAAATACACGACGCCAAACTCACTCATTGCTCATGCGGTGCTCCCACTAGACATGAGCTAAGCTGTGAAGGCGGTGATGATCGAACGTGACGAGCCTCTTTATGTCTGTCGACCTGATGGGCCAAGTTTCACAACCGTATAAGTGGGTTGAACGGACGGCTGTATTGTACACTCTACCCTTCAGGGAGAGTGATGTCGCCTCTGCACCACAGGTGGCGGAGATTGGCAAAAGCACCTCGAGATTTTGCTATGCGGTTCGTAATCTCAGCTTCGATCCCACGGGCGCTAATATAGCTGCCAAGGTACTTGAATTCCTAAATTACTCGCTGATCACCACCAAGGGTCAATGCAGGGGTGGGTCCCTGTCAGTCTTGGAGAAGAACTTTTGTTCACTTCCGTCACCAAAATCCGTTGTGTTTTACGCTGGCCGTACGGATAACGTGTTGCTTTTGCGCAATCTGGACCTGCCGACTTCCAGATCAGAAGATAAGTCCCCTGGCAAAGACTGTTGAACACTCGGCAAGCAGTACTCTAAGCGAATAATGAGGTCAAATAAATAGTTCACAAGAGCATGACCTAACTGGAAGTTACTGTATTTCAGTAACCACTGGATGCTTGATAATGCATTCGTTGGTTGCCGAAATACTGCGCTCACTGACAGGCTTCAAGGTAGATCATCTTCATTGGTAATCTCCAAAGTGAAACGTTCTGATAGTCTCGATCTCATTGACTAGCCAATAAGCTTCAGAATGCTTGTCAAACTGTTCTGGGCTGCTAGCGAAGGATGACGCGGGCTACCTTAACAGAATCCTTCTTGATCATGGCAGTCATGCTTCAGTTAGCACTCGCTTGCATTCGCTCGTGAGGGATAAGTAAGCGACACTTGAATTGTTCATCACTCAGAAGACGCAGTTGTTGTATCGCCCTCACTTGGATACAGCGCGTTTAGTCAGAGCAATGATTCAGCTCGTTTGTGCTGTGTACCTCCAAAACAAGTGGCTGATTGCATTCGGATCGACTCGTCCCGAGTGACTTAGTCGGCTAACGGTTCTTCCTTCTTGTAACAAGACTAACACGGACACCGCACGACCACTTGCGACTCCGAGTGGGGGAAGACAACAACTTTCGGTGGAGCGTTTACTGCTCAAATGAAAACGACATGATTTGTGCAGCCTGGTATTTATAGTGCGGATTTCCTCGTCATCAGTAGGGCGGCGTAGTTGTCACTGGATAATAGAACCAAGTTGGTTATAAAGTTACGTACTTACTACTTGGCAACGGTATCATTAAGGGTATCACGATCTCAGCAACCTAATATCAGTGACTCTTGGGCAGGGCTGAGATAATTATCAACTGGTACTGTTGTCTTCGATAATTGTCAGCTGGTAATGTCACCGTGAACCAATCGCATAACCGTTCCACGGCAACATGACGCAGAATTGGAGGACGCGAAAAGGCGTTTGGTGCGAAGTTTGTGGACTCATTAGGTCTCTATAACCAAGTTTAAGCGTACACATTCATTGTTGTCTGTCTGCCAATAATCCTTAATCGCCCGTGTCCCGCTTTACAGTTTTCGAGCAATCTTAGCGGATACTGCGTAATGATGGCGATTCACGGAGAATTTCGCTTATCTGTAGCACTTCGTCAAGGCCGAGATCTTTCAGCTGTTTCGGTATTATATGATGTTCATTTGTGCCATGTTTGCGGATCAGCAGACGCACTTTCCAAGGGTCATCTGTAATCTTCTGAGCATATCCTCCCAACGTCTGCACCGCACGTCAAACGTGCTTTCGGAATCAACGCCATAAATGTATTCGGTATTGGAGCTGGAGAGATCAGCAGAATTTACCTTGTATCCTGTGAAGCTGTTTCTGTCGATTGTAGACTGAGCCGCTGCGATCAGCTTCATTTGTGCATCCACTGTGCTTGTTGTTGCCGTAGCAATATTTTGAATTGTTCTGCAAATAAGTTCATTGTATTAACAATTTTCTCAATCGCCATTTGACAGCTCTGCCTTTTTCCATATGATTGCAGTTGAACGCATCTTGTTTTTGCAAACTCCAATCCCCAGCCCAAATCAGAAATTTGCGCCCCGAAGTAAGTGTTAAAACTGAATCTCCCGCAAACGGGTACAACTAGTGTAATGGTATTTATAGGTTAATACAATGACAACCGGGTCAACTGCCCTGATTAGCAGTTCATTCCCGCTTACCAGCCATGTGATGGGACTGAATCTTCCTTTAGCAACTAGTTAATATATCCGTACTTTATTGGCCGAGATCCTTTTCTCGTCGTAATACTATTTTTCCGGGAGTCTTTACTTCCTCCTTGATAACTTCCTGCAAATATTTTAAGGAACGTGCTAAATCCCACGTAGTTGCTTTAGTCGATCAATATAGATCAGTGTACGGAGTATAAAATTCGCACCACACCTAAGGTATGTCGCAGCATTAGCTCTCTGCCCAACAATTGTGGAACAAATGCCACAGTGTGATTACTTCCTCATCACAAATAGCTTAGCAATTGTGATGACAACATCACGATACTGGGCACAGCATGAAAAACACAACAAAACATAAATCGTGTGCTAAGTGGCAATGAGTAATTTCAGGATCAGGCACGAAACTACTCTGCACAGATTAATCCACAAGGCAAACCAACCGCAGGTACGGAGCGAGAAAGTCAACTTAGCGAGCGCTATCCGCAATGATGATGCAATGGTTTTTGTGGCTTCATCAATAGCAACTGATAGCGGTTTGGTTGATATACGTCCACAACTGGCCGGACCATGGGTGTTACCAATTGTCTGGTTGGCACCCAGTGCACCGAGTGAAATGAAACATGTTTGACTCGAAGCTGAAAGATGCTCGCACCATAGCTGTTTCACATGTCACAATTTCAGTTACTCCAGACCTCACGTTTAAATCACCGGTAAGTACCATAATGCCGATGCGGTGATTAGTCGTATAGCGATGCAGCTCTTATTTACGCAGGTTATAACAACTAAAACTCCCGCACTTAAGTGCCCGTACTGTGGTCGGCTAACAGGACAGAACTTTGATCTCATATTGATGGTGTATTCTACCAGTTGCACTAAGTTTTCACCTTATTTTTTCATACAACCGCCTCCCTCTCTTGTCCCCCTCACTATCCTTCCAGTTTCGCCTTTCTCTTCAGCTGTGCGCCGGTTTTCTCAAATTCTCGTTTTCAAGAAATGCTCTCCTATGGACCTTCAATATTTGTATCGAGTTCTTTGAGCTTCCACAGACATGGTTACTTTATGGACACCGGCCCCTATCGTCGCGTCCCAATATTTCAAGGCTAACCTCTTAGATGCATAATTGGTGCTCTAGTTTTCGGTGCCCGTAGCATTCGATGCGCTTATGCCAGGCCAATGATTCGCTCTACTCCACTCAGCGTTTAGATCAATTGGATTCCCATGTGATTCGGGACTACGGCACTTGTCGCACTCCAAGGTGCGCCACTATTGGCGAACGTTCCGCTGCGAGTCATTCAGCGCAGTCGACCTCGTTATCCGAATGTTTTCCGGATCCTTCTGCATTGAACGCACTCCTTCCATTGGCAAACCGTTCTACTCTTCTTTCTCACAAGGGGGGCGAAGCTTGTGTTCTAGGCAGTTCTATGGAATCCCAGTTTGAACCATCAGAACTAAAACACATAGGGGATTATTTTGAGGAAGACGAGGATGTGTTGCTGTTCAACGAATTGCCTCACGACGCTTTTTCCTCGCACGGAGATCACGTATCGAGTGGATATGATATGGGCAACCTCGCTGTGCCTTCCACCCTCTGCGAGACTATGCCGTATATGGATGCACTTCCTCCATTTGCCCGCCATCGCCCATCTCCTCCTCCTCCTTTATCTCGGGGGCAGATTCTGCTTCCAATGAACATGTCTTTCGATTCGTTTGGAAGTGAGGAATTTTCGAACTGCCTACATCACTTCGTTCCCTCTAGTGATTCGATAGATGCGCATCAACTTTCTTCTGCTGATGATTTCAACAGTGTCACTTCGAAGAATGTCCTATCTCCGAATTGGTTCATGGATCCGTCTTCAAACGCCGGCCCATTCTGTTATGAACGTGTTCCGAGCAGTAGTCAACCATCTGCTCTCTCATATATGCGGACACCACCTCGTGGAACGGACCCTTCCATCGTGACATCCTTGCCGTTATCTCCTACTCTGACTGATTCGGTGACAAGCGACCAGATGTGTATCCCTGCTGCTGTTGCCTTTGGACCGCTTACCTGCGTTGTAAATAATCAACAGGGAACGCCATCGATTTCCACATCGGTTATGACTCGTGGCGCCTCGCCTAGCGCTCTCCATACGTCGGTTAATTGTAATTCATCAGTATCCACATCCATCACTGCTTTACATGAGCCAGAAGAAGCGGCTAGTGCACGACAACGTTTAATGGGTGCTTCTGCTGCTGCAGCCGCGTTGGCTGCACAAGCGTATTCGTCGCAAGTCCCCATGGATAGATTTCTGATGTCATATGCAACGGCGGTTGCGCCGCAGTATGACCCTCATCCAGCACATCGCCAGGTGTCCTCTGATCTTCCGATGCTCCCGCACAACATTACCCGCGGTGTTACCAATATTTCCGATCCAGTCGTGCAACCACGTGACCCTTCTATGATTCCTCTGAGAAAAATGTCTGTCAATTTGATACTCACATACAAACTCATAAACGAGGTAAGTTGCAATCCTATCTGTTTCTTCATTTTGGGTTGACTTCTTTCTGAGATCACCACGAAATTCTTTGCCAGTCCTAATCGTTCGGAAAGTTTCTTTTGGAGGTTTTTACTATTTTTGCTATAGTTTCTGTTTTACCACAGATTTAGAACCCATTTTCTGGCGAGGAGCCACCAGAATGGTTCCTTCACGTCACCCAACGTCACTTAGCTCTGGTCTGTCAATCACTGCTTGTCTCTTTCAAATGAAAGCTGTCTAACTATCTTCCTCCATGAGCGTTGGTTCCATAGATTAGTTAATACCACTACCTGCTAGTTTATGGTGCAAGTTGATTGTGAACTTTTTTAAATATGTTCTATTTTTGCGCCAACGCGTTAGCCATGTTTTTGTCCTTACATTTTACCAAACAACTAGACACAAATCTAACCATTCCTGTTTCGAATTGACGTGCTCTATCATGCTTGCATTCCGTCATAGAAAATCACCTTCGAGTAAGAAATTGCACGCTATCTCCTAACCAACAACTTGCGTGTTCGATATGTGAAGCGTAGTACCCCTGCCTGAGACCATTGCCCTGAGAATTTATGCCATCGATAGATGAACTTGTGGCAGTTCCAGGTTTCCCCAACTTTCTGATGTAACCATAACCTGTGTCCCACAAGCTTAGCTTACTGGTATTAGTAAGGTAAAACCACCCGTTTTTCAGTTGCTGTGTAAGCAGTGCGGATGGTACTTATGCGACGAATCCGAGTGTCGTTGCTCCCAAACAGGAACATTTGCGGTCAATTTATTCTTTGGTCTCATTGCTCTACCAACGGTCGCTACAAAGTGAGTAAAACGGAGGTTGGTAACTATTTAAGAACCGTGAAGGACGATTTAGTGGCAGGCAAATGGTACAGTCTCTATCCAAAATCGACTTTACCTTTGAGGGTTTATGGCTTGCCAAAAGTTCACAAACCCGAAGTCCCCGTACGGCCCATAGTCGACGGTATTGGCTCCCCGACCCATGAACTTGCTAGATACTTTGCAAGGTTATTGCAGCCTCTAACAGGGCGAACGAGTACATTCGTGAGAAACTCTTATGACTTCGCTCAAAAGATAGCAAGTCTCAAAATTGAGTCAGATGAGTTGATGGTCAGCTTTGATGTCACATCACTTTTCACAAATGTACCTAAAGAGGAGGCGCTAGTAATAGCGAGACGTCGTCTAAATGAAGATGTCACTCTGAATGATCGGACGAAACTAACAGATAGCCAAATAATCGAGGGTATGACAGTGTGTCTTAACATGTCTTACTTCGTTTTTCAGTCGAAGCTTTACAGTCTGGAACAAGGTCTCGCAATGGGATCGCCAATATCCCCTGTGCTGGCGAACCTGTATATGGAAGACTTCGAGAACAGGGCGTTAACAAACACCATTAACTCACCACAAGTTTGGTGGCGTTATGTAGACGACACCTCTGTACTTGTTAAAAGGGATAAGAAGAACGAATTTCTTGATCACTTAAACTCCATTGATGAGAGAATACAATTTACTATTGAGTTGGAATCCTGTAGCGGTACAATACCATTTCTTGACTGCCTGGTTCACAAGAATGGGGGAAATTTAAAGACGACACTATCTCGCAAGCCAACGGATACCGACGGCGTACTCCACTACACATCGGGTCATCCGAAACAGGTTTACGCTGGGATAGCCTCAATGCTGTTCTACAGGGCACAAACCTTGTGCATGATGGAGGAGAACAAAAAGGCTGCGCGGAAAGTGGCAATGAGCAAACTATTAGAAAGCGGTTACCCACGGCGACTAGTTAAACGTCAATTGCATAAAGTGCTACATCGGCAGTCAAGACCCACAGCCGAGTGGATAGGGACGGTCGGCATTCCGTACAAGGAAGGCACTTCCGAGGCAATTCGGAGGGTACTAAACAAGGAAAATATAAGGGTGATCTTTCAGCGGGGTCGAACGTTACGTTCGGCACTGGTACACCTGAAGGACCCCCTTCCCAAGGATAGGACGACTAACTGTGTTTATAAAATTAAATGTAAGGACTGTGCACATGTGTACATAGGCCAAACAGCGAGAGAATTACGCACACGAATTTCGGAGCATAGGAGGCGCATTTCAAGACTACCAAGAAACGAGTTTGAATACCAGGCAATAGTAAGAGACTCAGCCGTAGCTGCGCATGCATTAGACACGGGTCACCAGATAGACCTCGAAAACGTAGAGGTCATTAGGAGGAGCATACGATCAAAATCTCAGTGGTTGATTGCCGAGGCGGTGGAAATTGCCAAATCTGACGACTTCGTGAATAGAATTGAGGGGGTAGAATTCCCTAATGCATGGCGGGCGGTTTTAGGCCGGCCAGCTTGACGAACATCGGTGCGTGAATCAGATTGGAAAGTGCAAACCGACTCCCATTGGCAACACTATGGGCTTATCCGTCAATGTCATGACGCACAAAGGAACACGTGGACTATTCCCACTGTGTTTAAACCACCTGAGGTGACATCACGAACGGTTGCTGTATTGACATCATGACTCAAGTCTCGGGTAACGCGGTTATCGCCCCTGTTCGCTATAAAAATCCTACCCCAATTGCAATGCTTCACCTGGTCTGACGAAGCCCTTGTGTCAACGGCGAAACATTACCAAACTACTATACCAACCGATTGTTTCCAAACCTCTCTGAACTCACGACTACTCAATCGGTTCCAAGCATCTTTCAAGAATTTGAAATGAACAGTGATTTCCTAGCCTCTATGATCGGTGCTCGCGGAGCTGAACGTTGCTCAGATAGATCCATCAACCAGAAATCTCTGCCCCTGGTTCGATTCCCAGCTCGAATAGCCCTACCCCTAGAGTTTAGGTAAATATGAACCGACCGTCCTGAAGTTAAATCAGAGATGAGAGACGGCTTATCCGTTGCGTCACAATGTAATTCAGTTAGAAAGTCGTAAAAAGTAAGAATAACAAACAATATTTCTCTTTGTCAATGATAGGATTGATATTGCAGTGGAAAGACAATGAAACCTACAACACAATTACTACTAAGGTCTGCGCTTGTCCCTGTCAACAAGTATCTCAAAATAAACTCGTGTATTGTCTCTCGATCCTCGCCCTGGAAGTCATGACGCTCTAATCGAATGCACATTCGAAGCGAGAACCTTCATTCCTCTTGGTCGAATCGTCGGTGGATCTCACTTATTTTTCATCCGGACCCTCAGGTCGAGCAAACGCATGTTACGGGAGTCGGTGTACTGGCGTGTGCAGCATATGGCCGTGTCACCATAGCGTTATGCGAAAAACAATTATCCAGGTCAATTCACTTACGCTTCCTGTACCGTAAGCAAGGCAACGAATGCGCTTATTGCTCCTCAGTGTTCCCACCGGATATGAGTTAAACTGCGAAAGCACGGATGGTGGAGCACAACGAATCTCTTTGCGTTTGTTGATCCGATTAGCCAGATTTTACAGCCGTCCAGTAAGATTGAACCAGCTGTATCATACAAGTGAGCGTTATCTCGCATCTGAGTAATAACTGACGAAGATTAGCAAAAGCGACGCATGCTTTTTCTACATTTGTATATATAGCTCCCCAGGTAGTTGAATTTTCAAATGACTCCCAGCTAACTTTCACCTAGAGTCAACGCATATCCTAATCAAGTAGTTCGTATTTTGAGGGTAACAAACCCGAACTCTAAGTCAAATCGAGTGAGCACAGTTTCTACAGCTACATCAGTAGCTGTAGATCGTGTGAGATACTGAAAGTCAGTGCTAATTCGCCGTTCTCAGCGTAACGACCGCCCATTTGGCTTGGTGTTCGTACACTCAACATGTGCGCCCCATTCGAGTCGGTGGGAACGACAATGGTCGGATCTTGAACATAATCTAATCCCACTTTTGCACGCTCACGAGGTATATTGAGAACGATGGTTTTTTTTGACAGTCTGGCTTTTTACTTCGATAACGGCAAATCCTTTCTCTTTAGTTCTCAGAGTCGACCATCTTTAGGTTATTGTTACCTTTGTGTTTTCGAGCCAATGTCCCGGTTTCCTCTCATTATTACCATGACTCACCCCCTGCTTCGTAGGTTTATTATCGTAAGAAACGTATGAAGGAACGTCAGTCACATAGGAAAAAGCAGGAAATTACCACAACTACGGATTGCGATTCTGATAGCAGATTTCCTGGTCAAACCTTGCATCACGAACCTGCCCTATCTCCTCCTCCTGACTCACAAGCCACATTATCAGAATCCGCAGTCAACACAGATAACGCTAATTGTGACCATTTTATCAGCGGTCCGTCTATCATAGGCCACAACTGCTACCAACGCTTCTCACTATCCACCTGCATCACCCAAGGCCATGCAGACGAATGTCTACCAAATCAGCAACTTTCATTTTCATGCCTGCGTCCAAGTCCTACTTCTGACCCTCTGCTACACTATCAAAAGACTGAGGAAAATTCCGACAAGAACAATTTTGTCTACTCGGGTTCTTCGATTAGTGGAATCACAAATCGAATGGCTGTCATTGGTGAGTGTATACTCAGTTATTTTCGGCGTACTTCTGCCCAACACTTTAGACGAACCTCATTTTATTACCCTTTTCCTTGGTTGTGTCGAGTGAAGGAGGATCCCGATGCTTTGTCATTTGTTAACTTTACGTACTGGTTACTCAACCATCCGTAGTCATTTAATTTATGCACAAATCAGTTTACTGTACAATGCTTCGTCCCTCCGAGTGTATCCGTGTTAACAGACGCGCTGGATTTGTTCGGTATCACTGTGGATCAGGGATCAGGCAGTGGACGCTTCAATATCCCCTTATTTTCTCTCTATACTCTTCCCCGACTGGTGTATGCACTCAGCTCTCACCTTGTTACGCATTCTGCCCCACGTATTCAGGCGTTCTAGTGCCGCAGCCAAAACATTGAGTAACTTGGATGACATGTTAATGCCTGAGGGTCCGGTCCACCACACCAGTCGTCTTTCATTACGTCCTCCTCATACTCCCTAATTGTTGATAATCCTTCTCTACTGCGGCTTGTCTACTGTTTAACTATAAATCCAATGCGATCACTCGGCATTGTCCTCTCCCAGTAATCAGTCGCTTCAATGCATCCTCTTATTCACGCTTAGTGTTGTGTTTCCGCTGATAGTACGCATAACCAATGCAACCACTCTTGTCACGATACAGCCACTTCCAAAATCAGACAAAAACGACCTCTGGCGGAACTTGTATGGAGCACACGGCAAAAATTTGGGGTCAAAATAAATAGTTCATGAGAAAAAAGACCTAATTGAAAGTTCCTGTCTATGGCAACTACTATACCACTACTCACATACTTTAAGCCATAAGGCATACAACTTCAGCCGTAAGGATTTCGACTTCATCTAATACTCTTACAAGTTCTCTCGTCCATGCTTCAGTGGTTGCGTTTGCGCTCGCTGTCACGTAGCTGTCTCACTGGTTATGCGCTGTCAGCCAATGGGAGGTCGAATTTAGCTGTAGAGTGAAATCTAATCACGGAAGGGGCGAAGGGGTGCCGACCGCAAATGCTCGAGAGCAATTCATCCCCAGGGCGATGACGGATAGCAGGACGCGGGTGAGACCAGTGAAGCGTTAGGTCATGATGACCCAATGCGTAGTAGGATGAAGTTCAGACACTGTTGGATTCTTCCGTTGCAATGGGCACTATTTTCGCTCTAGTCAGAAGAAGGCAACTATGAACCCTGTAAGATTGTCAAAACATAGCAGATCCAGCCCATTCTTTTGACATACCTGTGCATCATTGAATTCTATGAGAGCAGATCCCTAAATGTTAAGATACAAAATAAACAGAAACGACTGCACCGAGATGAGAGGTAAAGATGCAGCTGCTCTTGTGATTGCATTTCCTCCTTACTCTGTGAAATGTGTGACGAGTTCCGAGTATTTCTTCACCACAATATTTACAGCACCTGCTCGACTACTCCATCCATATTTTACAGTCATCTGGTATTTACACCGGTGACTTGAACCAAGTAATATTTCGATGAACAAAGAATGATAATAGCCGGTCCATCGTACAAACAATGTAACAGAATGAACCGTCGCGGAAGCAACCTGAACACATAGAATGGTTTGTGCGTGACACAGATGTAGACTTTGAGCTGATTTCCCACAGACGTTTCTGGACACCACTCATTCGTTAGCGCGCCATAACAGCATCATTGTCAAATGCCTGTCCACGACAGTCGTCAATATGAATCCCATCTTTCTCCGATTCTCGCAAAACCAGTGCAGAAATTTCCTCGGCCCTTTTGCTGTTGGTCTCAACAAAGATGAGAAACAACACCTCTACCCTCACTTCATTGTCACTCATCTGATTTTTGTGAGATACATCGGGCGTGCTATCGAAAAGCTAGCAAACATAATTGCTTTCATTGACCTGATCTCAGATTTTTATTCTCGCCTGATTGGAAAAAAGTTCGCACCAATTCATTTCGCACGTAATGCGACAAAGAAAAAGTGGTGGTTTTTCTTCTCAGCTGAACTGTCAGCAAATGTTCGCAAAGAACGCGCTCACACTTGGCCGATAAATGTACAACTGCTGAAAAATCCGTCTTTATTGGCCTCCTTTGTCACCTTGGATGTCTTCTTGGTGAACACACAATGTCATGCTTTGCTTGGTGAGAACCCTGACGATATGAAGTATTCTAGCTAAATATCGCGTCACTGATTTTCTACAACCACTTGCCCTTCCGTCAACTAGCCGGATCGCTACCTCTACGGTTGAGGAATGACTGCGCACACGAGGTACTAGATTCGTGTTCACATGCTTTTGGATTTAGCTTCCACCAGTCGAAAAACCAGACAATCCCGTGGAAGACATCCTACAGTGGAAACCACACAGGGCCTCATTTGAAAGGGAATGCACCATGGGTGTCACAATCTTTGCTCACGGTTTCGAAAATCCCGAAAATGACCAATTAGTTTTGAGATTCTCAGCCTCAGCTTCGCATTCGTTCCCGTTAGCATCACTTAGTAAATTCATGATAGATATGCTGGAAGACAGTAAATCCGAGTCAGACAAGCGAGCTTCGCTACACTAACTGTTGTGATTGGGAGTCGTTCCGATTTGATGCGATGCATGCCACCGGAATTAGATTCATTAAAGGTGACATGAAATTGGCTGTACCGCTGGATATGCAGGAAGTCGTCCCCGTTTTTCGTAAAGCTGCGGACAAGATAAGCTCCGTTATCCATCTTGTGAGCGCGCCACTTGTCCACTTCGGGGTGAATTGAGGCGAAACCAAATACTCGCACTTGTTTACCTATACCTGTGTTCCCCGTGGCAGGCATATTGAAAGGGAGACCGGGTTGCACTATGTGGAAACATTCATCACCTAGAAAGACACGGATAACTTCAAAACGTTACCTAAGAGAGCACGCTTACTAATGCACATTTGTTACGCAGGGCACCGCAAGCATCTGATTTTTGAGTTTGCGGATTGGCTTGGCTAACCACAAAATCCGCAAACGTCACCATTGGTATGCCCGTGTACAGGAAGCGGTCCAAAACGTTAGCAGTCTTTTCTCTCAAGCTGCTTGTTACCACGGCAAACTTCGGTACATTAGGTGCTGTGTGCGGCAACCGTTCCGAGCTCAAGTACAATAAGACAGTGTGTAAACAGAAGGCAAATGGATACCGTTTCCTAGGTAAACGATTATTGTAAACATATTTCGACCAATCCTGTTAAGCCATGTTCGACTGATCAGCCTGTTAATGTCCCTATTCAATTGCTCAGCATACGTATACAGCAACGAAAAACACCAAAAAGATGTGAACTCGCTTCAGGCCCAATGAGTTATCACCCACTGTGTTAGCAGCTTCCTATTTCTCACATAGTCGGTTCACGTCACAGAAACGGAAACAGGTTCGTTCGTATACGTTACACACTACTTGCCAACCGAGCGGAGCATATGTTGCACCACTAACCCACCTGGCGACGAGGTAAGGAAAAAGTAAAAAGCTTACAAATCCGCCATGTGAACTACACGTCCGTAATTAGCCGTCACGTGGTGCACCGTTTTCTCGCAGTGATGCCGTGGGACACAAGCACTTGCCTCCGACATTAGCTGCTCAAAAAAACGAACGCGCCACTCGGTTTTGCCGATTGCACCATCAGGGTCCCCTCTGAGCATTTTCGCATACCTGCTCCTCATCGTTTGCTTCACATAACTTTTGATTACACTCCAGATTCCCTTGATGGGGATCAGCGCCCGAGCGTAAGGTTGTAATCGTAACATCTTCCCGGATCGGTAGCGCTCCTCTTAGAAAACGGTTTCCAAGTCTCCATTACACGGGGTATTGTCACAGATCAACAAGTACCGTTCGATAAAATCGGAACCGTTGGCATCAAGCATCTGTCGCAGCCATTGTGCGCGCCTCTGCTTGTGGAAAATACCACGTAACACGGAAAAAGCAATCAACCCGCCGTTTGTCATGGCTCCGATAACGTGCACATTTTGGCCACGATTGTTTGCCACAGTACACTTTGCGCGGCTCCTGCGTGGTGAACGGCCCCGAGTGCGTGCGCAGAAGAGATTGAAATTAGTGTCATCAATCCACACCGTTTGCTGTTCTTCTGTCTGGAAATTCAGCAGTTTTATGACAAACGATTTCCGTCGCCTTTTATTCTTCAGTGTGTTTATTGGCTCGGCAACGGCGTGCAACTTCTTCGTTGTTATCAGCCGACCGTCTAGGTATCGAGCGACGGTACTGGTATTGACCTCAACCTCGTACTCCGCCTTCAAACGCAGACAAAGTGTTGCAAGTGTTATCGTTGGTTCTTCGGACACCCACTCCAGCAGAGAGTCTACGAGACTTTCTGTCAGAGCTTTGCGATGAGCACCCCCGTGTGGTCTTCTTGGTTCTGGGGACTCTAACACTGCTATCCAACTGCGACAGGTTTTGAAATTCACATTCAGCAAACTGACGACGTGCTTCAATCTCCTACCTCATAGAATTGCAGTGTTCGGTTCTTCATTTCCAAAGAGTGCCGAGCATACGGGCCCCTTTGGGTTATGTCTTGTGTACACAATGATGACTTCACGACCAGATGAGGAAACTTTGCCGCGCGGCTTATCTAAGCGAAACACCGAATGGTCCATACATGTCACCACCGGCAAGGTGGACGTGACTGTAAGGCTGTGCCGAAACCGTCTGCTGAGCATTAGGCAAACAGTTAAACAATGATTTATCACGGATAGAAAAGCATGTGCTTGACAAGTTCCATAGGATGTGGTTGGAGTAAAAATTAACATTTGAAGAATCAACGACTGAGTAAATCATCATATTAGTCGTCTACCGATTTAAATGCACTAATGCATAATGATAGTTTGAAATAGGAATGGGATGTGCATACACAAAATAATATAGTTATTATTGTTCGGTGATTGCGTGAGAAATAAAAAAGGAAACACAACACCCGCTCGTGTGTTGCTTTCTTAAAACGAAGCTGCGTTATATTAATCCAGTTTAGATACAT